GAGTGGCAGCGACTACGGTGGCCACAGGTCATATAAAAGCGAGCCTACTGATGGCTCTCGTATAAGGCGAAGGCCACGAATTAGATGGAAAGACCAAGTAGAAAACAACATCTTGGAACGTGGTCTTTCAAATTGGAGGAGATGCTCAAAGACCATAAGCCGAGCCGAGTTTCATAAGCCGAGCTTAAAAAAGCTCGGCTTATGGAACAACCCTTCTGTAGCTAGCCTACTAAGTAAGTATTTTTCAAGGCTTATTATAGGCGTGGATTTTTTAAAATAATATCTTACATTGAAAATATATTTTTAAAAAAATCCACGCCTATGTAAAGCTTTAAAAAAATATTTTTAAACCAGTGAGCGGAGCAGTACAGTCGGACGGGGCCGACCATACGATACCCTACTGCGGACGTTTATTTCGAGCCTGGGCAATACTTCGTGCACTCTTTTGACTGATTAGAGATCAACAGCACCTCTTCCTTACACTGTCATATTTTCCGAATATTCCCAATTTCAGCACAGCCCTGCTAATTAATTATCCAGATTCCCTTCACCTTGGGTTGTGTTGTGATGTTCGGCTTGTGGCCTATAAATCGGAAATACACAAAAAAATATGTTTTCGGTCCACTTCATCCCAATTTTTTTATGTGATCATCACCGAAAATTATAGACGTTGTCCTTTACCATAACTGGAACCCCATGGAAAATTTAAAAGCGATCAGCGTTATATTTTCACCCTCTAGTGTGGTAATGGGTTGCTAAATAATATCTGAGTATGTAAGCACCTGTAAATATTAGAGTAAATATATACGCCATAGAATACAAATTTTGCAATTTTTCACACAAAATTCAGGGTCAATTTGACCCGCTAAATATTGACCGATCTTTATCAAAACAGGCATGCTTATTCCTTGGCCCGATCCCCTTCTCCATGTAAAATTTCGCGTTGTTCGGTCCATAATTGCGGTCTCTGGAGCGACCAGAAAAGCCGACAAAAATTAAGTATTTGGTCCATTTCATTAACCGATCTTTACCAAAAACAATAGGGGTCTTCATTGGGCAGAACCCATCCTACATGCAAAATTTCGTGAATTTCCTACATGCAATTTACAAATTATAATGGACAGACGGACGGACACACATGTCTAGATCGACTCAGCTAGTCGAGATACTTAAAGGTGGATCTAGGACCAATATTTCGCGGCGTTACAAAATCTTGGGTCTGCACAAAGCTATAATACCCTGACAATATAGTTGTGTAGGGTATAAAAATACACGCCTATGATAAGCATTGAAAAAATATTTTTAAACCCTCTGACATATTTATTTTATAGTATAAAACAACAGTTCCACTTAATAATTAGTTGCTCCAATTTCCTTATTTGGAAAAGGATAATTACTGGCACTGCAGTGACAATCACGACATTTCTGGCTCATAGCCTTACGAATCCAATCCAAATAGAAATAGACATTACAGTGAGCATCAGGGCTACCAGTAGCACATGGAAAACCCCAATTAACCAAGCCCACCAAATGGCCATTGCTGACCAAAGGCCCGCCAGAATCACCATGACACGAACCTTCGCCAACCTTGGTGAATGTACAGATGTGGCCAACATCCAACATTGGAACTCCTCCAAATATTTCATAACAATCCTCATAGGTGACAAATTTCGTATAGAGTTTATAGAGATTATCGGGAGTGCCACCCCATAGAATGTTATCACCCCAACCGGTTAGAATCACCTCATCACCATCTTGCAAAGGGCTTACAGGCAAAGCAATTGGCTGGGTCAACTCATCATAGACAATGGGTTCCTTCAGGTACAGCAGGGCAATATCGTTGTGATATGTGGGATTATCATAATTACAATGGCAATAGAATTCTTCAACTTCATAAACGGCTCCAGGTTCGAAGTAAACATTTGTTCCGGTTATGACACGCAAGAAGGCGGGGTTATAGCCATCCACACAATGGCACGCAGTCAGGACCCAACGGTTGTCGATAATGGCACCACCGCACATATGGCCACCGAATGCGCCTTGCAAAGATATTTGGTATTTTGCAAAACCCACTTCGGCCACCTGGCCACCCACAATTCGTTCCTGCCCGAACTGAACGGTTTCATTGGTGCCACCCACCAAACGCACCGCCTTGGCAGAATACACCACCATCAGCAGGACTATAACGGATACTAAACTTATTTTCATGATGACAACTCTTCTTTTTGAATGTTACGAGCGCGATATGGCTCGCTTAAATATGTTTTGATGGTTATTGGAGCACGACTCCAACTGCCAGCTGCAAATTCAGAAAAATTTGTTCAGACACCTCAAGAACAAACTTTGAGTTATATTATGTACTTGATTTTATTTTATCTGATATAATATCTATATTGGACCCAAGTTATGGGCAATTAATTGTTGGTCGTGAGGATCGAATGACCGTTTGTATATCGATTTTATTGCTTCGCTTGTTTATGATTTGAAATTTTTTTAATGACTTATTCTGCTTGCCGGATTGCCATTGATAAGGTCTACTGTCGCTGCTGACCAGTTTTTGTTGTTGCTGCAACGATAAGAATGTTTTGTTTAGGTACCATTAATATTGTTTTGAAATATTTGCGTGTGTTTTGAATTTTTTTTTTTTATTATTTAAAAAAAAATTAAATTATTTTCATGGAAATTTGTATAAAAACCATTTTAATAAAGGCTTAAAATAGGAGTGGATTTTGAAAAAATATTCTTCAAAAAAATCCACGGCTTTAGTAGGCCTTAAAAAAATATTCTTCAAAAAAATCCACGGCTTTAGTAGGCCTTGAAAAAATATTCTTTAAAAAAATCCACGGCTTTAGTAGGCCTTGAAAAAATATTCTTCAAAAAAATCCACGGCTTTAGTAGGCCTTGAAAAATATTCTTTAAAACATCCACGCCTTTGTCTCCTTTAAAAAACCCACGCCTTGGATAGGCCCTGAAAAAATGTCTCCTTTAAAAAACCCACGCCTTGGATAGGCCCTGAAAAAATGTCTCCTTTAAAAAACCCACGCCTTGGATAGGCCCTGAAAAAATGTCTCCTTTAAAAAATCCACGCCTTGGATAGGCCTTGAAAAATGTCTCCTTTAAAAAATCCACGCCTTATATAGGCCTTGAAAATGAATCTTTAAAAAATCCACGCCTTATATAAGCCTTGAAAATGAATCTTTAAACAATCCACGCCACTGGTAGGCCTTGAAAATGAATCTTTAAAAAATCCACGCCATTGGTAGGCCTTGAAAAAATATACTTTAAAAAATCCACGCCTTATATAAGCCTTGAAAATGAATCTTTAAACAATCCACGCCATTGGTAGGCCTTGAAAAAATATACTTTAAAAAATCCACGCCTTTGGTAGGCCTTGAAAATGAATCTTTAAAAAATCCACGCCATTGGTAGGCCTTGAAAAAATATACTTTAAAAAATCCACGCCTTATATAAGCCTTGAAAATGAATCTTTAAACAATCCACGCCATTGGTAGGCCTTGAAAAAATATACTTTAAAAAATCCACGCCTTTGGTAGGCCTTGAAAAAATATACTTTAAAAAATCCACGCCTTTGGTAGGCCTTGAAAAAATATACTTTAAAAAATCCACGCCTTTGGTAGGCCTTGAAAAAATATACTTTAAAAAATCCACGCCTTATATAAGCCTTGAAAATGAATCTTTAAACAATCCACGCCATTGGTAGGCCTTGAAAATGAATCTTTAAAAAATCCACGCCTTTGGTAGGCCTTGAAAAAATATACTTTAAAAAATCCACGCCTTTGGTAGGCCTTGAAAAAATATACTTTAAAAAATCCACGCCTTTGGTAGGCCTTGAAAAAATATATTTTAAGAAATCCACGCCTTTGGTAGGCCTTGAAAAAATATACTTTAAAAAATCCACGCCTTTGGTAGGCCTTGAAAAAATATACTTTAAAAAATCCACGCCTTTGGTAGGCCTTGAAAAAATATATTTTAAGAAATCCACGCCTTTGGTAGGCCTTGAAAAAATATACTTTAAAAAATCCACGCCTTTGGTAGGCCTTGAAAAAATATTCTTTTAAAAATCCACGCCTTTGGTAGGCCTTGAAAAAATATTCTTTTAAAAATCCACGCCTTTGGTAGGCCTTGAAAAAATATTCTTTTAAAAATCCACGCCTTTGGTAGGCCTTGAAAAAATATACTTTAAAAAATCTACGCCTTGGATAGACCCTGAAAAATGTCTCCTTTAAAAAATCCACGCCTTGGATAGGCCTTGAAAAATGTCTCCTTTAAAAAATCCACGCCTTATATAGGCCTTGAAAATGAATCTTTAAAAAATCCACGCCTTATATAGGTCTTGAAAATGAATCTTTAAAAAATCCACGCCATTGGTAGGCTGTGAAAATGAATCTTTAAAAAATCCACGCCTTTGGTAGGCCTTAAAAAATATACTTTAAAAAATCCACGCCTTCGGTAGGCCTTGAAAAAATATACTTTAAAAAATCCACGCCTTTGGTAGGCCTTGAAAAAATATACTTTAAAAAATCCACGCCTTTGGTAGGCCTTGAAAAAATATGAAAAAAAATCCATGGTCAGGTCAAAGGTCATTGACCCCGTATTAAAGGTTATTGACCCCGAATCAAGGTCGTTAAACCGGGGTCAATGACATTGATCCGCTTTAATCCGGTATCAATGGCCTTTAAAACGGATTAAGCCTTAATCCGGGGTCAATGATCTTTAATCGGGGGTCGCTGATCTTAATCAGGGGTCAATGACCTGTAATCCGTTGTCAATGACCTTGAACAGGTATCCGGGGTCAATGACCTTTGACCTGGACGTGGATTTTTTAAGGAACTCTTTTTCAAGGCCTAACCCTTGAAAAAATATTCTTTAACAAAAATCGCGTCTGGTTTTATTTAATAAAAAAATTTATTTAATTTACAAATAATTTATTTTCTATAAAAATCAGATACAAAAAAGTTATTAAATAAATACTACCCCCCTCATCCCCTTAACCTAGTACATTGATTTAAAGCCAATTGTATAAAATCATAATAATATACCGTACTGGCATGCATATCCGGTTTACCCTTAGCACATGGTGCACCCCAATTAACAAGGCCCACCAATTTACCGTTAAATGTCAGTGGTCCACCAGAATCTCCATTACATGCCCCCTCACCTTCACGGGTCATGGAACAAATATGACCCACACCAACACCTTCATCATAATCCCATCGACGACGGCATTCTTCATGGGGTATAAAATTAAAATCTAATTTTTGTAAAAGTTCTGGAGGTTCACCATTGAGACGCATGGCACCCCAGCCGGTCATGGTGATAATGTCACCCTCTTTCAGCACCTCTCGGGATAATTCAATTTTATTGGTATAATTATCAAAGACCAGCGGCTTATCCAGATGCACCGCGGCAATATCATTGTGATATTCCGGTTGATCGTGACGACAATGGGGTATGGCTACTTCCAACAGACTTACAGTTCCAGGTTGTCGCCAATTATTGGTGCCCGATATTACACGCAACACATCGAGTGGGTAGTCTTGTACACAATGGGCGGCCGTTAATATCCATTCATTGTCGATAATTACCCCGCCACAGAGATGGGAGCCAAATATCGATTGGATGGAGACTTGATAGGGTGCAAACCCCACCGGGGCTACCTCACCGCCCACAATACGGCCTTCCATGTTAGCTTCTGCTTGATTTTTATAATCAGGGTGAATCCGCTTGCCCTCGACTCTCCTAGCACTGAGTATGATAAAAATGGCCAATGATAAATGACACCACGCCTTTATGGCCCTCCCGACGATATTAACCGATTGCATTTTTTTCTTTATTTGAATGAAATACTGGTGACGAAGTAAAATTGTTATATTCTTCTAACAGCAAAACGTCGTTGTTTTGGCCATAATGTGCCATTAATGACATTACGATCCGTTATTTATGCGTTTGTGGTTCAGAGAGAAAATGCCGCCGCCAATACTTTTTTGTTTTGGTAAGGTGTTCAGGCTATCAGAGGTTATAAACCATTTATATTCGATACCCTGAACTGACCAATAATACAATGAAAATAATTTTGATTAGGCCAATATGTTAGTGGGTTTTCCCAGTTGTTGTTGTTGCCCTTTGTCAACAATTATCGTTAATTACTCCAAAATCTTTACAGCTCTGGCTGGCCAGTTAAGCAGTAATGATTTTCCAAATTTGTATTTATTTTGGTTTTATCGTTCGTGTATCACACGCTTACCAAGAACAAGCCAAAAAAATACATATCATATTTAGCTGATGAAATATTCGTAAATATGGTAAACAATTCGTTTATGAGTATGGACTGGTATATGAGGCGATCGCAAGGATTTTTTTTTTACATTTTAAGGTCACTTTAAATTTTAATCGAAATAATTATTTAAAGGAACTACTGAGCCAATGTGAAAGATTTCCAAGCGCGATGATTTTGTGTGCAGCTTTTCCAATATGAAAGACCATGTTCCGATATGTTGTCTTCTACTTGATCTTTCCATCGAATTCGTGGCCTTCCCCTTCTGCGCGAAGCATCAGTTGGCTCCCTTTTTTATGCCTTTTGTGCTGGGGCATCCTCATCCATTCTCACAATATGACCTAGAATTTTTCTCTCAAACACTCCACGAGCTGCGTCATCTGCTTGCACAAGTACCCATGCTTCAGATCAGTACAACAGCACGGATAGTATCAGCGTCTTGTAGAGTATGCATTTGATCTGGCGAGAGGTGATTTTGTTTTTGAATTGCTTACTTACTATTCTTCTCCGGATTTCAAAGCTGATGTTACTAGTTTTGTTTATGGCCGTGACGAGGTATATAAAATCATTCACTACCTCGAAGCTGCAGTTTTAATGTTCCAGAGTTGGGCCGAGTCTACTGGACGTCTTGCGCGTTGATACCATCAGTTTGATCGGCGTAGACGAGTAACATGTGTTGTTTGGTGTACAGGTTGCCATTTCTGTCCACGTTTGCACTAATTGCTACTCTGACCACATCTTTAGTATCATCTCTAATTGGTTCTGGGGTATCTTCTTCGCCGCCACTTTTTCATATCAGAAGATTTGTAAAATGTTCCTTTCCTGTCTGTATCTGTCACCAGGTTTACTTCTTCTTCCCGCACCTTAGCCTTCGCTTTGGTGTTTTACTCGTTGGTAAAATTTCCGGACTTCGTTCTGACTCCTGTTCATCTCGATTTGCTCACGGTCACGTTTTCCCTGATAATTTTCTCTCACATTGCGTATTGCTAGTGTTTGCAGTAAAGATCTTCAAAATACGTAAAATCTTTCGGGTCACTTTTATTGAGGCTGTGTCAAAATAGAAACCTAGTAAATAATATGTGTTTCCTACAGATTTGTATCCTCGGAAATCCGAAATGACCAAACATTATCACATCGGTTGAAAAATACAGTTAAGAACTTTCAAAATACCTCGAATCGGCTGGGACTCTCATAACATGTAACTATATTGACAATTTTCAACAAAAATGTATTCACTCAGAAACCGAAGTGTGAAACAACATCGTCATTGGTTGAAAAATGCTGCTAGGGCCTATAATAAAGGAGAAAGTTTAACTTGTTCTTATGCGCACAAATGAAATACACGTGAAGACGCCTGGTAGTCTATACAGCTAATTTTTTTACGAAGACTCTAATTTTAGAATTATTTTCCAAGCTTTCTGTATTTTAGAAATTTGGCGATTTTTCTAAAATTTTCTTAGAAATTGGGCAGATTTCCTTTAGAATTTCTCCACATTTTCCTGCTTTTTTTACCCCAACTATGCACGTTTTCCTAAGAAATTCGAAAAAAATATCCAACATGAATAATTGGTGGTGGATTTTTTTTTGTGATGTTCATACGAAGTAAACATAGACCGTTCTTCTTTCGAATTCCGAACGATTTCTCTCAGAAAATCTAAAGTTCCCTCCGAATTTCTCAATAATTTTAATCCAAATTCGTACCGAATTCGTTTGGAAACACATTTTTTTCCAAATTCCTTTCGAAAAAACCTTTTGATTTCGGTGGGTATGTCCTAACCTTAGCATTAACATGACAGCGCCACCCAGAGGGAAAATATAACACTAAATGAGCAAGGATGCCAACCACTGCAAAAATTCAAGGATGTTTCTATGCACCGATAGATGGCAGCCCCATCACATCACCACAGCAAACCAATCATCTATTTAGGTAAAATAAATAATAAAAAAAACATGATAACTAAACTAACTCATAATCGAGTGAGAGGACAGTTATTTTCTATGTTCCCATCAGAAAAGGAGAAAATCGTTTGACCGCGTAATCATCATATCAAAAATGGGGTTCGACGTTTTAATGAGGATATCGTTTAGTTTTCGCAATATCAAGGGCCATACCACATAATTTCAGAAGACAAAAAAACGGAGGTTTGGAATTCCACCCTTTATTTATGTTGTTTGTCCAGGGCTGCCGAATCGAACTTAATTGGCTAGACTTCGATAACTTTTTTTTAACTCCACTTCGACTACGGAGTTATCTCCGAATAATTAATTATTACCCTATATAAACCCTTTTCAAGATCTCGAGATCTTGGGAAACTCAAAGTATTTCTGTAAACGTTCAAGTCATTACAGTTGGAAATGCAGATAGAATGTCATAATAACTAAAGTTTTGCGGATCCTCCATATGTGCGTTATGTCAAATCGTATATCTATATTCAAAATCGTCTACAAGGAGTATATTTATTTCTAATTCTGACTAGTTCATTGGAACTATTCCCATAAATGAACGATAGGAACTAGGTTCAATTCCTTAGTTTCTTTTTCTGATCTCGTTCCTTTATTTCTATATTCTTCTTTCTTCTTCTCTTTCTCGTTCGTTTTTCAGAAGCATCAATATTTGTGAAAATAAAGTAGACTAAAATAAAAAATTATTTTGTGTTCATCATCCTGCAGTTCAATTCTGTACTTTCGGAATAACGTACTAAATTAAAATCAATTTTTTCCATCTTTGCTCAATTTGTCTACTATTTTCTTCCATCAATGAATCAACACGGAACTATGTGAGCGAAAAAATGAAACAAAAATAACGATGAAAGAGAGAGAGAGAGATTCAAAAATGAACAATTGGATCTAAAGCAGTGTTGATCGGAACTAAATCGTGAGTAGATGTGTGAGATCGTAATAATCATTAAAAATAACTGACGAAAAGAGAAAAAATAGACTACGTCTTTAGCCATCATCGCTGTCGAACTACTTTGTGAATTAGTAATCTAAAGGAACGCGATAAACAAAGGAATCGGACATAGTACGTATCGGAGCAGTATAGTCGGATGATACCATACACAACCACCGTGGAATGCTGACATTCTGCGGATCAATATTCCGTGACTGGGCAATATTTCACGATTATTGCTCCGTCTTAACCGATTAGAGATCAACAGCTACTATTTCGGCATATTTTCCGAATATTTTTACCGGGGCGATATTTACACTATAAGATGCAAATTTTCCCATTTTACACAGAAAAGTCTTGGTTGATTTTACCCGCTGAATATTGACCGATCAAAACAGTCATTCTAATTAGTTGACCAGATTCCCTTCCCCATGTGATGTTCGGCTTATTCTGCCCTATATGGCGACTTGAACAAAACACACAAAAATTAGGTTGTTGGTCATTTTATCCCCTAAATATCAGTTGATCATCTCCAAGGACGACGCCTATCGTCCTTGACTATATATATATATATATAATGGTAATCAGAATAGGTAATATTATCAACTTCTCTTTAGGGGCAAAAACATACGCCATAGAATACAAATTTGGCAATTTTCACACAAAAGTCTTGATCCATTTGACCCGCTAAATATTAACCGATCTTCATAAAAACACTCATGCTTATTCATTGGCCAGATTCTCTTCTTCGTCCAAAATTGTGTGGTGTACGGATGATAATTACAGCCTCTAGATCGACCTGAAAACAGATAAAAATAATGCCCAGATATGACGATCTTTATATCTCGACTACCTGAGTCGATCTAGAAGTGTGTCTCCGTCCGACTGTCCATTCGGACCAAACATCGCCATATTTTGCATGTAGGATGGGTTCTATCCAAGTAATCTTCCTATAGTAAGAACCGATTTGTTTATACCTTCCTTAAAATATCTGTGATCGTTCAGGGCCTTAGAGATATGGCGGATTATGCATGAAACACTTTGTAAGTAAGATTTAACACCCAATAAGAACCTGATCGTACACAAAATCCCTAAAATACCGAATAATTGGCGGTACCGTTATATGGATAAATGGGTTAAATCGGGTTCAATTGACCTCTTAGAACAAGTCTCAAAATTTTAGAATATTATTGAAAATGGCAACAAATGCCTAACTTTCAATAATATGCGCCGTTAAAAAGCTTTCAACCTCTCAAGAGAACATTTTCAATATTCTATTCGATAATATGTTACAAATATTTCCAAAATCGCAAATCAAATTCCCGATTACACACAAATCAACTTACCTTGAGTTCCAAATCAAACGAAAAACTACTTCCAACTGATTTCAGAACCTCACACTTATCACAATCTGGTCACTCGAAGGTAAATAATATAAAAACACAAATTACAATGGCCCGCCATAAAAATCCAACCAATTCGATAAAAAAAATCCAAAATACGAGAACATAAAAGTTCTTGTCTATATTGCACTTCCAGGCAAATCAAAAATACATTGTCGATATCGAAACTATATATCAGCGAGAGAGATATCATTTGCACGATATCGTTTTATGATATACGCTAATATCCAATATTTATTTTTTTTTTTCGTTAAA